AGGCAGAGGCAAGCAGATCTCTGTGAGTTCAAGGCCAGCTTGGCCTACATAGTGAGTTCTAGGTCAGTTGGGGCTACAGGCAGACCCTGAATCAAGTTAGAAAACTGTGTATTTTATAGAAGACATTGTCTTCCAGTTGGCAGCTTTGATTGCAGCTGTTGGGAGGTCAGTGGCTATACACTAGTGACATTAAATTTCTCAAGTAATACTGGTTCACATAACTTGTTTCATTTTACTTTATAGTCAACAGAAAGTTAAATATGCACTCTCCCTTTGTGTAGGAAATGTACAGATTCTACCATTTAGCAGCAGACATATGCTTCTTTTATGCAAACTTCATACACTCATTTGCTTCTAATTCAAAAGTATGTATTATTCCAACTAAAACTGTTGTGCTTAAAACTGGTGAAAAGGGCACGAGTCTGGCACTAGCTGTGTTTTATATGCTGTAGCTACTGTTATGTGCTGTTGAGCCTAAAAATAAGGTACAAATTATTTTTAAGTGTAAACCAGAGATCATTTTTTAATCAAATAAATTCATGTCTAAATGTGGCTACCTTTATTTTTATAATGTATTTATTCTAACTGCAAACTTTTAAGAATCAACAAGATGTTGGATGCAAATATGGGAATCTAAACTTGAAATACGTAAAACTGGGCTGGTTCAAAGCTACAGTAAAGACAGCACAGTGGGTAATTACATATTTCCATACCTATCATCTTATGTAAGGAAAGAACCTGCAGTCTCACCTAATACTCTTAATCACTAGTACTGAATGCTTGATTTTAATAGTAAATGAAGAGCCACATTAATACTGACCCTTAAGCTGGCTCAGTATGTATAATTATAGACCAAGAAAACCTAACCCTGCAGATCCCAGACACTGATATCATAGAATTAAAGTAACTGTTTTCAGTTTGGAAAATATGTAATCTTAGAAATAAAAATTAAAAATCAGAACTTCATACCTTGTGCAAGCATGTTAAATTCCAAGAACAGTGCTATGTGGTAAAGCTCCATGGCTTCTTCTGCCCTGGTCATGTTTGGCTTCCCTGCGACGAGAGCCTGAACTTCACTGAGACTCCCCACAGAAGGGCTACAGTGCAAAACAGACAGGTCCACCACGTCGGTATACATACAGTGTAATATCACTTTTGCATATTTTTTTGGTATAATGGACTCATCTAATATAATTCTTGTGGGAGTTCTTAAAGTTCGGTCTGTGATTTCTTCACCAGTCCGTATCCTCCTTTGTAATAAGTTTCGAAAAAATGGGGACCGTGCAGAAATAATAGCCTTGTGGGCTTTGAGCTCTTCATCTAAACAGTTCTGATTTCCACCAAAAGCTTCAACTAGTTCAGAATCCGAAGAAAAACTAAGGACGACATCATAATAACACATGTAATCAAAAAGTCCACGCATATCTACATCAAGGGAATTTGGTGTTCCAAATTCTTCACTAAGCTGAACAAGGATATCGACATTTTGAAACCTTGAGTCCTCCATTCCAAATTCTCCTGTATAAAGGTAGTGTAACAAAGCAGAAAACATAGGCATATCAATACCAGCTGTACTGATGTCCATTACTATCTCTGCCCCATACTCAGGTGAGGAAGAAAGCAGTGTTTTAAAAAATGGACACCTTGCTGCCAAAATGGCACGATGAACAGGAAAACAAGTTTCTTGAAATATTAAGTCTACATCAGTACAATACTTATACTCATAAAGCTCAGCCATATCTTTCTGCAATGTCCGGGCTTCTGGTCTAGCCAAACTGGCTTGTAGAGAAAGCTCCTTTAAGGCTGAAGTTCCCTCATATTCTTCCACTAATGCATTAACATCTCTAACATCCCACCCAGAGAGGAGTTCTCGCATCTGCTTGGCGTGATCGGCAGACCTATTAGATTTTCGACGTTTAATAAACTTCTTTTTGAGGGTGGCAAGGCCAGAGGTTCTCTTTTTTTTGTCTTGTGGTTTCTCATGGCCATGATCAAGGCTATACAACTTTGATTCACAACCATAGCCTTGCTGAGAATAGGATGATGTCCCTAAGAAGAAAATTAAACAAATCATAATTTGTTTCTTTTTTAACATTCATTTTCAACATTAACATATTTCATGCCTAAAATTTTTACACATTCTTTGACAAGTAAAAAAAATCTGACTTGTTTTTATAAATGAAAACAACTCATTTTTATACTAAATAAAAAATAGGGGTGGGCATTATGGTACACATTGTAATACCAGCATTTTAAGGCTGAGACTGGAGATCAAGAATTTAATAATAGCCTGGATAGTGAGACATTGGTCTCAAGGGGTGATGGGGATGGGATGCATAGATGGTTTAGTGGATAAAGTGCCTGCTGTACAAGCATAAAGGCCTGAGTTCAGATCCTCAGAACACACATAAAAGCTGGACACAGTGGTGCATATCTGTAAACCCAGTGCTGGGGCAGGGAGGGGGTTGGAGACAGGTGGAACCTATGAGTTTACTGGTCATTCAGTTTACCTAAAACATGAGCTCCAGGTTCAGTAAGAGACCCTGTCTCAAAAAATAAGGTCAAGGGGCTGTAGAAATGACTTGAGTAAGAGTATTCTGTTGCTCTTGCAGAAGACCTGGGTTAGGTTCCCAACACGCATAGTAAATGGCTCCCAACTACCTGTATAACTCTGGTTCCAAGGGGATCAAACACCCTCTTCTGGACTCTGAGGGCACTTGCATACATGTGGTACACATATATACACTCAGACACATATTTATAAAATAAACAAATAAACCTTTAAAAAACAAAGTGAAGGGCTGGGTGTGGTGACCCACACCTTTAATCCCAGCACTTGGGAGGCAGAGGAAGGCAGATCTCTGTAAACTTGAGGCCAGCTTGGTCTACATGGAGAGTTCCAGGCCAGCTGGGGCTACAGGGAAACCCTGTCTCACAAAGACCACCTCCCCACCAAAAAAAAGGTGAAGAGTGATTGAGGAAGACATCTGATGTTAACCTCTGCCCCCACAAGCAAGCATGCATGGGAAAGCATAACATGCATATGCCACACACACACAAAATAAAATAAAACCAATAAAATTAAAAAGGGCTGGTGAGAGAGCTCAGTTGGTATTTGCCACCAAACATGATGACTTCCTATCAATCCCTGGGACCTACCTACATAGGGGGGAAGGAGGAAACCAACTCCTGCAAGTTGTCCTTTGACCTCTACGTGTGCCATGCATGCAGGCATACCCACTCAAATAAATAAATGTACATATATTTTTTTAACTAAAAATGGTGGCGCAGACCTTTAGTCCCAGCACTGGGAGGCAGAGGCAGGTGGATCTCTGTAAGTTCAGGGCCAGTATGGTCTACATACTGAGTTCCAGGCTAGCTGGGGCTATACGGAGACCCTGTCTCAAAAAGACCAAGAAAAGGGGGCTGGAGAGATGGCTCAGCGGTTAAGAACACTGGCTGTTCTTG